TCTGATTACAAACCTACATTGAGGACTGTTTGATATTCCTTTGTTTATTGATATCTCCAGGTGACACATAATGTCTGACTGTAAACTGGGGGGTGTTTCAGAGTCAAACGAGAGATTTGTTTTCATTTTACACACTTGAACCGAAACAAGGAACATCGTACAACAGCCCCTCCCTGGTTTCGTTCCTTCTTCTTCATGTAAAATCATATTCAAAGCATCCAAACACACTTCAATCATTAATTTAAAAAAAAAAAAGACATCAATGATTGTGTGAAGACTGTATCAAAGTCTTGTGTTATTTTTAAGGCTTTGTTGTGTATGGCTGAAACATCAGTTCCATTATTCAGCCCTGAACAAACATCCTCCACAATCAGAGGAAGCTGCTGTGGAAGATTAGATGGAGAAGTAGGAGAGATTCACAGAGAGGCCTTTTCTCTAAAAAACAATGAAAAGTGCGACACTTTCATCCTGTAAAAACAGCTTTTTTAGCAAGACTAGGGATGGTGGTCAGTTGGGCCTCCATTTTGGTCCAAAATATCTCGACAACCATTGGATGGATTTCCATGAAATTCTGTAGAGATGTTCATGGTTTCCAGAGGATAGATCCTACTCACTTTGATTATTCCCTGACTTTTCCTCTAGCGCCACCATGATGGTTATATTTGTTGTTTTTACTCACTTAATGGGTTGAAATTTGGTCCAGTCAATCCATTTTTCTTCATCTCTTTGCGCCTTCCTCTACACGTCATTTTCAGAATAAAAGCTTTGGAAAGCCACTGTCCACTTCCTGCTCAGTGCCAAACAGTAGACAGACACAGTTTGACACCAGCTGGTGAACATAGTGGAGCATTTAGCAGCTAAAGAGCTAAATATTTCAATCAGGAAGTGGTGGAGACCAAAAACGGAGATAAAAGAGAGGGAATAATGTCATTAAAATCGAGTTAGAAATCAAACTTTATAAGTTTAACAGAAGTAGTATTCATTACAGGCATAATGTGCTTTAGTCTGTTGGGTTGTAGAGGCATTTTTGCATCCACCCCTTAGTTATGGAATTATTACATTATTATATCTACCACAATTAGGAAATAAATCCATCTTAATAGTCTGAACGCTCGGTTATGCTGTCTTACATTGTAGAAATACACTGAAGTAGGGCGGACACACTCTTTATGGACCACCGGCTCACAAGGAAACACACACACACACAATAGCTTTTGCCTCGCGCGACCAAATCTGGGTCAAGAACATTTAGTATCGCCTCTTTATTTCAAAGCCCAAAGGAAGGAAAAGAGGTCTGTGACTTCCAGCAGGTGGATAAGAAATAATGGAAACTGGAGCGTAATCAAGCTAATAACAAACTCAAATGACCACTAATGTAATAAGTACAACAGTCTTCCAGGTCCTTCAGTAAATCTGTCACCAGGATCCATTAGTTTGCACTCATGGACAATTACCAGAAGAAAGTGGGACAGTCTGAACAAGTTTTTACAGTTTCTGTTTGTTTAATTGACTGAAATCTTTCCAGACCGTGTCCTCTTACTGTCCGGCTGCCAAAATCTAACTGAGGAGTTGATAGTAACACTGACGCGCTCATATCAAGTTGCTTTTAATTATTACTCTTCGCTCAGAGCAATTAAAGGCGAACGTAGAGTAGAATAGAAAACAGAAATAGGAGAGAGAACTGGGTCTGCAGGCATGGGAGGAGAGGCCGGAATAAAACTAAAACTAAAGCTCCAGTCTTGGAGAGAGTTCTGTTGGAAAAACATAATCTCATAGTTTGTGATTCCAAAATGGAAATTTTTACAAAGGGGTTCTGAAGTACAAAATAAATCCTGGAACCACTGTAGTTAAAAAAAGGTTTCATATTTTCTGGGCTTGTTCTTTAATATTTTTTTATACTGGCTAAGAGATCAATAAATACATAATGAAAATATTTGGAATAGAAACCGATTTTTCTTTCGTCAAAATACAAAATGAAGATGAAGATGACTATTGATTTAAAATGATTAGATTAGAACAAATATATGTTTAATTAACTATCAATAAAAAATAAAAACAAAAACAGAGCTGCAAAGATGAATCGATTAATCGATCGCTAGAAAATTAAATCAGAGTCAAAGTCATTCATTCTCAGGTTCAAGCATCTCAACTGTATGTATTATTTCTGTTTTATGTCATTGTAAACTGAATTAAATCATTAATTACTGATCATCATTAACAATTTCAAAGCATTTATATTTTTTTTCTATTGTTTTCTATCTATTCTATTTCATCAGAGTGCTGTGTGTATTGATTTGACTCACATGCTTTATATGACATTTTATCTGGTTGTTTTGATTACAGTCATCCCCTCCATTTTTAATTGTTTGCTTGTAGTTTGCTGTGAAGTGTGTTTTGACAGTGAGTGTGGTTGAAATGAACTGACAACCCTGGGAGCGCCACGCCCCCATACCTTCATTGACCTAACTATCAGCTGATTGACAGGTGCAGGAAAGCAGACACAAGGCTTTTATTGAGGCAGAAGAGAGGAGAATGGGGAGCACGTGGGTCGCAGCAGACGCCGGAGGAAGCAGTCAGCCACCAGCCACGCCATGAGGACTTAAAGAGGCGAACAGCAGCTTGTGTCCTTCAACGCCATTTTACTCAGGCATCATAATTTAATAACTGCTAGATATGTGTATAGACGGACTCGAAAAATTCAAAAGCATCATATGAAGACTCTCTGCTTGTTTCATGGGTGAAAGGTCGAGTTACGTAACATTAAATAAGACGTCAGTGTTGCTCTGGACGAACATCAAAGTCGAGAAGAGATAACGTGTTCACAGTGCGATGTACGACAGCAGGTGTAGATACAGTCTTCATCTGATTGGCCCTCAACCAGCTTGACGTCTTCATTTTCGCTAGTACTTCTTTATCACAGCGTCATCCTTCTCACATGTTATAGATGAACTCAGTCTCTCTTTTTAAATTTCTTAAACGTAACTGTATTTTTTTTTTTGGACGATCTCTGGTCAGCCTTTAGCTGGTGTGTAAAATAAACAGTCGGTAAATGTGCGTTCGTTGTTCAATTGTTTCCATTCACAAACAGTCCTATCTGCTCAGCCTCGTCAGGAGCCCTCATGTCGTGCCACTGTGCTTCAGAGCGTCTCTCCCTCCTCCCTCTGCAGCCCCCTTCTTCTCCATCAACAGCAGTGATCAGCCGGCCGATAGCAGAGCCACAGAGGCAGGAAAAGCTTCCAGGAGTCTGGCATAAAATCTGCAGCCAGACCAGGACGGCACCGGCTTCCTGTCACTTTGTTAAAATCGAGCCGATATGTTGGTTTATTTTAGTCAACACCCAGTGGAGGCATTTTGTGTTGGCTTGAGGGTCAACGTATCTCTGTGAAGTCTGACGAAATAACCTGAGTGATGTCATATTGATGGGTTATCTCAGTTTGGGCGTATGCCATGTTCATCACATCATATGGGATGGATGGTAGAGATGGGACGACCTGCAGTGGCATTTTTAGGTGGAAAAAAAATGGTGGAGCAACAGCTGTTTGTGCTGCAGATCCCAATTCTACTGAGTTTTTAAACGACTCCTGCAGCTTTCATGTTTGATAATTGACATGTTTGCAGAAAGATGGTTGAGATCATGACGGTTAGAAGAATTTATCTTCCTGTTATTTTTCTCTTCTTCTAACCTCTGAACTACCGTATTCCTATGCACAAGTGCACCTACAGCGTGCACTGGATTACACCGCAGCCACAGGTCAGCTGAGTGAGAAAATTCAAAGTAAATTCGAAGTACGAAGAGAAAATTTGCTCTTAAATTGTTCATATGTTTTACTTAAGAACAAATCTGTTTGAAGACTGGTTCTTGTTTGTGCGCCACTGTGTGTTGTCTTTGAGCTCTAACAAACATGTTCAATGTGTTTCCTTCCTCCTTAATGGTATTAAAGGTCCCATATTATATAAAGTAAGACTTCCATGTGTTGTTTGATTATAGATCAGGTCTAGGTTCTATATTAATACTGTGAAAGTATCAAAGCGCTCAGTCCACAGAGAAATGCACACAGCCTGTATTCAGAAACTGAGCCTTAAAACCAGCCGTTATGACTTCTGGAACTTTGTGATGTCACAACAAAGCAGTCACTGCTCTCAGCCATGCCAAAAGCCCCGCCCACCTGGACCCACCATCCAACCTTGCAGGATTTGGTTTCTCCAAGTATTTACCTGAAATCTGTTGTATTTTTATTCAGTCACACAGAAAACAGTCATCCAATCAGAAGAGAGGCTCAGAGCCTCCTGTCTTCTGATTGGCTCACCAACGTGTTGTTACTAGAGCTCCTGAGAGAGGAGAGGTAAAACTACATTGAGATGGTTTCTCTTATGGATCAACACTCAAACACTGGAAAAAAGTAAGATATAGGACCTTTAAACATATATATTGATAATTATATCGATCAATATGGAGTGTGTGGATTTACATTTGGAGAAAGTTTGCTTCAGAGGTTGTCGTTTTTTTCCACTTGAAAAGTCAACAGAACATGTCGTTTTCCCAGGGATGCCCAGACTTTTAGCAAACAACTTTACCTGCACAGAGGCGGCCGAGCTCCACCTATAACTGAGTGTGTGTTTGATCAGCGTCAGAATAAGGACCTACTGTTCCAGTCTGCCTGTCTCATGTTGCTCTGCCTTCAGACTCCATCTGCCCCGTGGCTCACTCTCCTGTTTCCCTCCCAGCAGGGACACTATTCATTATTCACAGTGTCAAGTTCCCTCTCTGACACCCGGAGCTCAGCCACAGAAATGTCTGGAGCAGCATGTTTGCACACTTGACACACATTGTCCCACCCACACACACACACACACACACACACACGCACACGCACACGCATGCACACACCAGCACTCACTTTCAATATTTCACCCACAAGTTTCATTTGACCTTTTCAGTGTAACCTTTACTCTTAGTTACCACATATACATGTGAGTGTGTGAATGTATGGGTCACTGACCGTGGAAGTAACTCTGAACCTTGAGGTATCCCACACTGAGCCGGAGCACCGACAGCTTGTCCAGGCGACCTCTGACCTCCTCAGAGAAAGGCAGCAGGCTGGTCAGACGGTCCAGCTCTATATTCAGACGGTCCCGGTGGCGTTTGGACGGATTGGTCTTCACCGGCGGAGGCTTCAGACTAAAACAAGACATGAGACGGAAGGACACGTTCAGCCTGCTAAAACACGCTCGCTCTGCTTGACATCCTGCAGAACACAGTGGAATTTCCATCTAGGGTTTAAGTGGGTGTTTTGGGTTTGAGGTGCATTTTTCACATCCTGTAACAAGCTCATGAAGCACATGCGGGGGATGTAGGAGACTCGTGTGTCATACTGACATACTGACTGTTACTGTTCATTAAAACAGAAAAATTCCAGCATTGAATTTCTAAGACACGATGTCCCCAAGAAACCACATCAAACCAAGATTCAACTTCCTGGTTTTAAGAGGCAGCACAGGCTGAGAGCGCGGTACATACTTTTATTATTACAAGACTGGAAGAGCCAACGGCGTGGCACAAAAATCTGGGCTCCGCACATACAGTATGCAGCCTCAGCGGGGGCCCCTTCCCCTTTTTAACATATCCATTGACACAGTGTTTAACTAAGATTTTACAACATTATATTTCTATCGCAATTCTTCAGGTCTTCGTTATAACTTGGCCTTAAGACAAAGGTGGAAAGTCATTTTAGTCTGCTCAACAGATTAAGATTTCACATGTCAAATTTGCAGAATTAAAATCAGCTACTTACTAACAAGTGCTGGTCTGTTGCACCGCAAGTAGCATAATAAAATAGTATTAAAATTGGAATCACAGGATTAGAACCTACTATAACTATAACTATCAAACTGGCTGACTGGTCTTAATACAGAAAGTAATGCTAACTTATAACTCAGCTGTTATTTATTAAAAACCTGTTGTAAAACTATTCAGATGTTGCTGATGGTTTATTGGCATCAGTAATGGTTGTATACAATCGTAAAACCCATTAAAACACAACAGTAAACACATCATATTTTAAGTTATTGCTTAAGAGACATTGAAAATTAAAACAGTATCATAATGCACAATATGTACAATATACAATAAAACATCCAGCTTGATGCGCACGATCCTGTTCATTAATAATACTAATAATGTAAAATGTAAAAGTTGCAGATAAAAACAAACTTTTAGGGGCCTCTCTATGTTTGGGCCCTGGTCACTTAGTTTCACTATTCCCCTCTTTCATTTAATTGTTCTAGTGAGCTGGTTCCAGGTTCCAGGTTCTCACATGTAAAAATTTGCTATTTTGCTTTACTTTTCACATGATAGACGTCTCCTTTCGTTTATAATACTTTATTCCAAATGATTAACAGAGAAAATAATCAGCAGATTCATCAATAATACTCAAGTACACTACTTAAACTCAACTACTTTTGTTACTTTAAGTACATTTTGCATGACTGTGTGCACCATATGTCATGGTAATCCATTCAATAGTTGTTGCGGCATTTCACTCACAACCACAAATGTCATCCTCACTGTGTAACTAAAGGAAAAGTCAGGGGATCACCAAAGTTATATGGATTCATCCTCTGGGGGGCATGAACGTCTGTGTGTAATTTCATGGCAAACCATCCAGTGGTTGTTGAGATGTTTCAGTCTGAACCAAAAAAAAAATGAAGATATTTGGAGTTGAACACACAAATCAGCCTAAATACAGTTAGTTACATCATAATTCTTCAGACAGCGTGCGTCTGTTGATCTTCCACTACTACAAATTACCACAACAGTAATTCCTCTCCAACGTGTCAGGGCATGTGTGCCAGCCCTGCCTGACAGAACAGACAGATCTGAGACAAGAGATGGAGGGAAGAGGAGGGAACAAAGCAGGCAGGAATGAAGGAGATGAAACACGACCGGAGAGGAGGACAAGAGGAAACAGAGTAAAACATGAGAATTACTCTCCTGTCGTGGGATCACAACACTTGACCCACAAATTCACTAGTTTCATTTTCAAAATGTAGAAGTCGTCTCTGGACGTAACAAACACAGCCAAAGACTGTATTTGGGAAACTGTAACAGCAAAATGCCCTGAGGGGAGTAAGTTAATCAAGTCAGTGTATCCATAACAAATCATAGGAGTAAGCAGCTTTTGACAGTGCTGCATTAATCTGCAACTATTTTGATAATTGATTAATCAGTTTCATTAGTTTTGGACAAAAGTTCACTGGTTTCAGCTTCTAAAGTTTTTTTGTTTTTCTTTGTCTTCCATGAAAGTAAATTGAAATGATTAGCTGATGAATCGATAAGTAGATCAACAGACAATTAATGCAAAAAATCTTCATATAATGAAGAATGTTCATATAAATGTATGAACATATAAATGTTCATATAAACCTGAACATCCTTGGACTGTTGGTCACACGTGAAGATGCCACCTTGGGAAACTTTTAGGTAAAAGCAGTTAATTGATTATGTGATCAGTATCTTTCAATTCTTCAGAACTGAACCTACAAGTCACTGTGGTGAATCTACTTTTGGATCATCTCCCTCGAACCCATGTTCTGTTGGATGACCAATCAAAGTTTTTGAAATTATCCCATGAAAATCATCCGACAAATAGTCTGTAATGATTTTAGATAAAACAGACATGTAGAAAGGCATGCTGGGAAGCCTTTGTCACAGCCTTTGGAGCAGAGTCAAACCTTTGGCCATTGATGGGCGCCCTCACACAAAGGTTTGGCTTGGCTCTGGAGCCAGAACTGCCAGTCTCATCTGAGTCAGGTTACATGTGCAGATTATGTGTCCGTGATGGTAACGTGGCACACTGCTCTTTCATACAATGTCAAGATGACGTGTGGTGTAAGACATGAAGAGGAAGACTTTATCGGTCAAAGAGTAAAACAGCTCGTTGAAGTGCTTTCAGAGCAGTGGCTGAGATTTCTGAACAATCTGCAAAGTTTTGCTTTTGTAATAGGGTTCAAAATCCCAGCACAGTTCCCAGCAATGTGTGTCTTCAGATAACATTCCCAATAATCCCTGTACAAGGAGACACTGTTGCACGGTTCCGACTTCCTCTGCACAGTCCAGCCTTAAATCGACAGGTGTTCAGTCACGGAAAAGTGCAAGTGAAAAAGCTGCAGGCTGTTAAATTTGCAGGAAATTTGTTTAAAATGCAAAAACTTTTGGATGGATCATTTGAATTTTTTGGATAATGTCATTTTTATTTTTTATTTTTATTAATTTTGTTAATTAAAGTCCAAGATGACGACCAACACTCCCAAAGATATTCAGTTTAATATATTAATCTGAGAAAAGCAGCAAATCTTCATATTTGAGAGGCTGAAAACAGCATTTTTTTGTGCTATTCTTCTGACTAAGTCTATAACTACCTCACAAAAGGTGTCAAATAAATGTAGTGAAGTAAAAGGTACAGTATATTCTGACTTACTTCCTCCACCGCTGGTTGTTTTTGTTGCCTGTTACCTTACACAGCCATAATAATAAACTCTACAGACTCCATCAGTGGTGGAAGATGGACTCAGATCTTTAACTAAAGTAACCGTAGCAACGCCACAGTGCAGAAATACTCTGTTACAAGTAAAAGTTATGCATCCAAAGTAAAAGTACAACTTGAAGTACCAGAAGGGCCCATTTCAGAATAATGTATATTATTTGGTCATAATTATTGGATGCCTTAAGTATACATCACTTCAATGTTGCATGTGGTGATTTTAATATTTTATATATTGCAGAGAGGCTTAATCTACAATAATACCTCATAATATATTTCTTAAATGGAAATAAGTGCAGTAAAAGTACAAGTGAAAACTGTACTGATGTGCACTACTTGAGTAAATGTTCTTAACTTCCTTTCCACAGCCACCATCACCTGCCCGACTCACCTTATCTACTCCTGACGTCACTACCTTTGCGTCGCTGCAGGTAAACTACCTACCTGTCCCCTGTGCGGAAATCACACATCACACGAGTTAAGCTAAAAAAAAAAAAAACAACAGCAGCGGCGGCAGCAGCCTACTTGACTCTTGTTGTTGGTGCGTGTGAACGGTTTGGTAATATCACTAATAATTATTATAATTACACGATGATTAATACTGTGATGATTGATTGAGTGACAGAGACAAGCAGTAACCCCGCCCTCGCAGCTCAGGCCTGTTCGGCTACATCAGTACAACTGATTATTTCTTTGCCTGCAGAGAAATAATAATTAAAAAAAAAACATTTAAAACATTAAATCTTACTTTTTCTGAACGGGCTTCCTCCTCCTCTTCACCGCGTACACTCCACCGTTCCCCTGCATGGTGGCGCTGAGGTTTCAGCCAACTTTCTCTTTCTGTCCTTTCACTTCAGACAGACAAAACGAAAAAGTTCAAACCCGCATTTAAAAGTTTTATATTTGTAAAACCTCCGGATAAGACACGCCCAGAGTTTTCTTCTTGTTGTTGTTGTCTTGTGTCGCTGCTGCAGGATTTCCAGGTTCTTTAACTGTGAAGCCAGTTCACTCCAAACCCAGGCGAGGAATAATCCAAATGTGTGAGGTGAAGCAGCATTTTGCAGCCTCTCTGTCGGTCAAAGAGTCATTTAAAAAAGTGGTAAACTTTCCAAGGGGAAGTCGTGCAGCTCTCACACCACAAACCAGTCCTCGGCCTGCTTCTTCTCCCGCCTCAGCCAATCCAGTGCAATGTAACATGAGGGCACCTCTGTCTCAGGGTTTATTATTGGTGTAAACCTTTGCCTTTGTTTATCTTCCTTGTCCTCCGCTGTAAAACACACACACACACACACACACACACACACACACACACACACACACACACACACACACACACACACACACACACACACACACACACACTGCACATGTGAGTCTGCTGTCGGTTATAATTCAGAGACAAAAGGCTCGACGCATCGTTTCCTTTTCTTGTCCAGCTGTAAAAATTTGACATGAAGTGGCAGCAGCTAACTCACTGTTTTCCATGTTTTTCCTGTCTACCTGAAAAATGTTAAAATGTTATGCAAACACTGTACCGCCACCTAGTGGAGGCGACAGTTATCGCAGGTTGGGACGAATAAACAACAGACAGTGGTGGAGGAAGCATTCATTCATACCGTTCAAACCCTTTATATACATACTTACTATAGTAATACCACACTGTTAAAAAAATAAAAATAAAATGTAAAATAAAAATGAAAAAAATAAGTAAAATTATGCACTTAAGGCACCTAAAGTAAAGAAAAATGCCATGTACATTTATTCCATTAATATACAATTAGATAATGTACAATTAGATATTTTTAAAGAGATATTTTACCCAGTACAGAGGTTATTAGTTCCATTCCTGCTCTTTAGCACTTGTACTCTACAACATTTCAGAAATATTGTGCCTACTTTTTTATTTCACAGCTGTAACGCTAGTGGTAGTACTTTGCATATTAGAGACAATTAAATGTGTCAATGATTGAGCTGTTCCCACCTGTTTCCAGTCTTTCTGCTAAGCTAAGATAACTGGGTGTAGTTTCATATTTTACGGGAAAGTATATCAATCTTCTCATTGAAGAAAGAACAAGTGTATAAAAGGCTGAATTATTCCTTTAAGGTATCAGAAGTAAAGCTCATCCATGCGGAAAAATAACACCTGGGAGCATTTTTATAGTGTAGATATGAAATGAGTACATTTATATTTTACAGTTTACAATTACAATTTAAATATACTGATGTTAATCCACTTTATTTCAGAAATAAATATTCCACGTTAATTTGAAAGCTTGTTAGTCACTGATATAAATCCACGGTTTACAAGCTCCAAGCAAGTCCCATATAAGCCTTAGTGTGAATACTTTCAATGAATTTACAAATAAATGAAAAACATTTGTGAATATCTTCCTCACATTTACAACTTTCAAACAGAAATTTGTGAATTAATTTTCTTTTTGTGAAGCGGCCACTTTCGGGGGAAAGGACGCGATTGCCTGCAGATGACCCCATTTCCGCTTTTCAAAGTAAGAGCACGCATGCTATGAGCCGTTGGTGTTGATACTTGTTTTGTTAAGAAATTACATATTGAAATTGTATTGTTCATTGTTAATATACAGATTAAGCAAACGTTAACTACTAAACTGGCACACGTTGGCATGGCAACAGTAAACATTCATGTTGCAGAGTGAGGGAATGAAAGCAGGGTGCTGGATTTTATACACTGTGATGATGATGATGATGATGATGATGATGATGATGATGAGAAATTGTAAATGCACTCCTTTTCATACTCATCCAACCTGTAAAGAGATAACTGGTGTCATTTCTTCACCATTGAGTTTATTGTAATCATTCGGTCCATTTAATGTTTATCATCATTTGAGTTTTATTTTTATGACATCTTATTTATTCACTCATTTACTTTTATAATTATTATAATAAAAATGTTTTCAATCATGAATATTATTTTGTTTTAACCATTTTAGCAACTGCATGTTGTTACAGGAGATGGTGGAGGCTACAAATGTACAGGTCATAGCAGAAACCCCATTTAATCTATAATTATATCATATCATTAAGTTAATAAAACATTAGGTGAAGGGCAGTCATTTTCCAGTGCTCGCTCTCTCTCTCTCGCTCTCTCTCTCTCTCTCTCTCTGAACAAGGGTAAACAAAAATCATGTGACTGCTTTATGGTTACAAGTCTTCTGGTTATGCTCATCTACACTGGATAATTATTATTATTTATGGCCATTATCAAAGGCAAACACAGACAGCAACTTCTGTTTTCAGCTGCACAGTTATACAAAGATATATTTTAATTATGAGACTCAAATTGATTGTTTTATGATTGATTATTAAGAAATAAACTAGAATGTGTTTTTTGTCAAACTCAAAACACCAGAGGCTTTGGTTTTTCCCAGGGAAACTCCTCTCTGCCGAAGTGACCGTAGCACGCAGTGGCTTGGTAAATTGGCCGTTTCAAACCCAGCTCTCTGTAAAAAGAAACACAGTCAATAAAAAAAATAAAATAAAAAAAGACAAGAAGGTTTCAGCTGTGAAAAACTACACATACTTCACAATGACTCCAGGCCTCAGGTCAAAGTTCTTCTGTACTATCTGCAGCAGTTCGTCTTCGTCCCTGCTCGACGTGCCGTAGTGAAACACTGAGATGGAGAGTGGATGGCTCACACCGATGGCGTAGGAGATCTGAAACGAGGAGACAGGACATCCCTGCTCTCAGTCATCATAAGCAGGTTTTTGGAGCAACGTTATCAGATGGCGTGTGTCTTATGAGAGGAGCTGTTTTAGTGGTTTAAATTGCATGATTTGCAAAAACAACAGGTTTGCAAAGAAACAAGGAACAAATGTCTGTTTTAAGACATCTCACACTGTTACTGGGTGTTTATGCTTGTTAGGGGAAAGTTGCAAAAGACTGTCAGGCTCTCAATGGTTATCAATTTGAAGTGTGTTTAGAGTTTCAGTGTTTCTGTTCAGATGTAAAAAAGCACCATGTTGTCGTGCATTAAATGTGGTGGACACAATCCTTTTTCATGATTCCCTGCAGCTGATATATAGTGTTTATTTAATTTTTTATTGCAGTGTTTCTGCAGTGATCATCAAATTAAATTTAAAACTTTCAAAAACGGATGGATTAACCAATCAAAAATTCATGAATTCATTAATCTAAGGTCATTCACTTGTCCATTATGGCTTCGATCAGCTTGCTTACTGCTGCAGCAGCAGTAGTGAGTAGTTTTTTCTTCAGGTCTAGCCTCCTGCAGCACAATCCACTGTCTCAATGGTCTCACAGTTTATGCATGTATAACCTGATTCATTGAAATTAGAGTCAAAAATAAAGTTCATTCTGTGTTCATGCAACTACATTGTCCTAATGTTTTACACACAGGATCTTAGCATGGACCAGAAGAGAGTCTTTAGGCCCCTTTAATTAAAGTTCCTCACCTGGACGAGGGCTCTCCTGCACAGTCTGGCTTTGACCAAAGACTTGGCGACCCAGCGTGCCGCATAAGCCCCGGACCGGTCCACTTTGGAGTAGTCTTTTCCAGAGAAGGCCCCTCCTCCGTGCCCGCCCCATCCTCCATAGGTGTCCACTATGATTTTACGTCCTGTGAGTCCCGCATCACCCTGGTGACACACACAAAAAAAAACAATCAGATTCAACTCCTGCATGGCCGATCACATTTATTTATCTTTTTTTTTTTATTTGTCACATTTTCCCTCTGTGGTCTCTAACCTGTGGGCCTCCCATTAGGAATTTCCCACTTGGCAGCAGATGGTAGACGGTCCTGTCGTCCAGGTACTTGGCAGGAATGACGACCTTCACCACCTTCTCCATCAGATTGCGTCTGATCTCCTCCAGGGAGATGTTAGGGCTGTGTTGGACTGAGATGACCACAGTGTGAACACGCAGCGGCTCCGTGGCTCCCATGTTGTCTTTATACTCCACTGTGACCTGCAGAAAAGACGCCACCAAGTTATGATCAAACTCTTAACTCATAACTAACAGCACAGCGAACATTACAGTCGAAAGTATTTAAGTTTTTAGGTAGTTGACAATGAAGAGCTGACAGGAAATTAGGTAAGAGAGAGATGAGGGATTAAATACAACACATTTTAGAACGAGAGAGATGGGAACTGTCATGCAATGAAGGTCAAAGTCGAAGTGGGGACACTACGGTTCATAGTCGCCTCTAACTCGACTAACTTGCTTTTAACATCTCTCTGTTTTTTTTATTGTGCAGTGGCTCACCTGGGACTTGGAGTCTGGTCCTATCCACGGACACTCTCCGTTGCGTGACAGCTCCTTCATCCTGTAGTTGAGTTTGTGGGCCAGAAGGATGGTTAAGGGCATACACTCCTCTGTCTCATCTGTGGCGTAGCCAAACATCAAACCCTGAAGCAGCCCAGTAAAGACAGAAACCCAGACTAATGATCAGGTCTGTTCATGTCAAAAGTTTCATCTAAATGTAAATTCAAATCTTTAAACTGAAGTAAATACAACTCTTTACAAAAGAGATTATCTTGTAAATGAAATGTTGTCATACTTTTAGCCACATTAGCAGTGTAGCTCTAAGGATTGGTCAGTCAACCACTTTGGTCCAGGCTGAAATATCTCAACAACTATCGGATGAATGGTCATGAAATGTTCTGCAGACATTCATGGCATCCAGAGGATGAACCTAAATGACTTTGAGAGCTCCTCTGACTTTTCCTGTTGCGCCACCATGAGGTGGTGCGATGAAATCTCATTCAGACATTCATGTTCTCCACTGGATCATTTTTATTAACTTTGGTGATCCCTTAAATTTTTCATCTAGGACCACCATCAGGTTAAAATGGTCACTCTCTTCTTCGCTTCCTGTAGATCAGCTCAAGTACAGGGATATTTTTAGTCCGTCCTGCTCACACAGCATGTTTGAAGATCTTCCCACAGATGTTCAGTGAGGTTCAGGTCAGGGGGCTGTGGGGGCTGTACCAAAAGCCTCAGCTTGTGGCTCTTGAAGTGGTTCATGGTGGATTTTTGAGGTCAGCTTTGTCCTGTTGTAGAAACCGCCTCCAGAATTTAGTGGAATCCATTCTTCCCTCCATCTGTTACTGTTTATTTCTTTTCCTAGTTTTTAAGTTCATGTAACACTAACATTTGAAGAAAGGTTCATTTTAATGTTGTTGTTTGCTGCAGGGGTTGGATTTACTTCTTACTTGTTATTTGCCAAAACTTTTGCAAACACGTACGGCTGAAGTGCAAATATAATCCTTTACCAGAGCGACTGTTTACAACCACAGTTATTGCATGAAACAAAACTATTCTCAATCCATGTAGTGAAAAATTGCAGTTTGAATAAAAGGTAAAATACTGAACCTGGTCCCCTGCGCCCATGTCCTCCTGATCCCTGCCTTCAAACACACAGTCTGATATCTCCACACACTGCGGCTCCAGAGCCAGCAGCACGTTGCAGGTCTTATAGTCAAAACCTGAAGATCACAAAATCAGCAACAGCTTTTCATTCATCCACTCAATTTCCCAGACAAATTCTTTTTAAATTTAAAGTTATCGAATACGAGTATTAAATCCCACCATGCTGTACCTTTTGAAGAGTCATCGTAGCCGATCTTCTTCACAGTATTTCGGACCACTGATTGGAGATCCACTGTGGCCTTAGATGTCACTTCTCCAACCAGTAAGATCATCCCCGTCTTCGCCACACATTCTGCAACAAGACACTAAATGCATTTCATAAACATAGCTGGTGAACTGTTTTTTTTTAATTGTCCATTTTGCTGTTTATCGGCAGTGACAGTGCAGAGAGAGAGAGAGACAGGAAAGGCAGGAGAGAGAGGGGATGACGAGCAGCATCGAACCCAGGCCGCTGCTGCAAGGAGTCTTGACATGCACGTTTAACCAAAACTCACCACAGGCCACTTTGGAGTCAGGGTCTTGACTCAGGTACGCATCGAGAACAGCATCACTGATCTGATCGCACATTTTATCTGTGAACACAAAGTCAGAGAAGTAAAAGAAAACAAGGACAGAGTGTATTGTTTTTGAATACAGAGATTATTAAGTATTGACTTGGTTGTAGCTATACTGAGATTATGTGCTGATTACTTATTGTGGAGTATTCTTACCATGTGGTTAAACTACTTTTATACTTGGGTAACATCTTGAGTACTTCTTCCACCACTGTATACTTTTATTTTTTTCGGTGCAGAATGTGCTCTTGTAATGGGAGGATTTTTAGGGCTGCAGTCTATTTAGATTATCATTTAATCTTCTGGTTATTTTCTCATTAAATCCATTGTTTGATTTAAAAAAAAATCTTCAAATGTGTTGTTTTGTCCAACCATATCCTAAAGATATTCAGTTTACTGTAATATTAGACTAAGAAAACCAGAAAACACACATATTTGAGAAGCTGGACCAGAGAATTTTGGCTTTTATTCTTTAAAATGACTCAAAATGTTTAATTGATTACCAAAGCAGTTGCTGAGTCATTTTCGGTTGACTGACTAATCAATCATCTAATCATTGCAGCTCGGAATTTATTACCTTTAATGTCTGAACACTACAGTCTACAGCTCTGAATGCGCTGTATTATTTTAATATAGCTTCGACAGAGTCTGTGCGTGTCCAGACATGTCCTCCCTGTGAACCACAGCGGGACGGAGACGGAGTAACACATGAGTACAGTACCGGAGTGTCCTTCTCCAACAGACTCGGATGTGAAGAGGAAAGTCTTCCTGCTGCTGCTGCTGCTGGGATTCATCTTCAGCTCGTGTGGTCGGTGCCGCAGAAAAGTTCAATTCAACGGATTTAAAATCAGACTGACGCTAAACCGGGTCACACTATATAGAAGTTATAGTATCCTTTGATGTCCGCCGACACTGATTAGTTGAAGCAATAATTAACTCAGTAGGTTGAAGCTCAGAAGCAGCTGCATAAGGAAAAAAAAATGATTCAGGACAGACATGGCGGATATGGAGAGTGAAACTAAACAACTGATGTAACTTTTCATTCGTAGCCGGGAGGGAAGTTGGTTTATAAATCAATATAAAGCGGTCGTTTCCTCTCCTCTCTGCTCTCGGTAAATGCCTGTTTGACCTAAGGCAGGAGCGTGTACTAAGTGAAGCAGCCTCAGGGTGTCGCTGTTGCAAAACAACATTTCATCTTCTTCATCATTGTGCAATATTCCCATTAAAAAGGGGGTTAAAATATTTAGGAACTAGAAATTGCAGTGGGATTGCTGCCTTCTGCTCTTTGGAGTCATAGGAGTGCCATAAAAAAGAATAAATCTGTAAAAGAACAAGAAAAGAAATGTGGAAATATAAACAGGAATAAATAAAGGAATAAATAAGTACATTTAAAAATGTGGAAATATAAAGAGAAATATATATAAGAGTTGAAGAAAAAAGCTTTTCTTCTATTGCTTTTGCTTTTCCGTTACTGCCTTTGCTTTTCCCTAAAGCCTTTTTAACATCAATACTTATAGGGCTTTTTAGAGCCATGTACAATACAGGATCTCACTTCAAAAACATTTCAGAAAAACAACAAAAGTTAGCTATCAGCTAGCTTTCCCCCAGAGCTAGCTGCTGGGGCAGCCCGACTTCTTCTATAGTAGCTGTGTAGTGTACGCCCTAACAGGTCTCATCCAGATTTTAAGTTGGATATAAAGTTTAATATTTGCAACATTTTGGTGTAAGAAATTACACAAAAATTTTGTGGCCTTTATAGTGACACATTTGTAATTTGACATTTGAACTATATATTTCATGTTGATTAAACTTATTTATTTTCTTTTAGTAAACTTCTCTCATTGTGTGCATTCAGCATAAAATTTCTACATTGTCCATTGAGCTTTTTGCCTTTTAATGTTAAATATTTAAGTTGCATTGTAACACAAATTTAGGTTTTATCTTCTAATGGTAATATGTTTCTGCATTTGGTATTGTCTTATGTAATCTCCTAATACTTTACAAGTGAAGTTTGACTTGACGTGCGGTAGCGTCTTGACTGTACAAAGTCCATGATTACTGCGATTACTTATATAAGGCACAGCCAGCATGGCAGGGCTCTATACTGCACTCTCACACTGTACACTTTGTCTTTACTATTTTATATTGTGTGTGTATTTTATGGAGTAGTCTCATTTATATATGTTTATCTGACTTCAATCAATCATACGCCTCTGCTGTTTCCTTACTATCTGCCAAGCGTTCACCAAAGTTCACAACCCAATGTTCAGTCTGCATGACTCATGCCTTTTCATCAGGGAGGTACGTCGTGAGCTCATTGAGGCTGCACAGACATTTCTTGACCTCTTTAAACTCTACAAAATTAACATATGAATGAAATAAGGAATTATTTCTTCACTTCTGTTCTTCCTCTTCCTTCCCACCCTGCTCTCGACTTCCCCGTGTAGGACTGATGACAGAAACATATACAAAGCTGAAAGAGGCAGGTTTATCATCAAGTTAGGATCTTATTAGAGCTGTGATATATGAATTAAGCTTTATGTATAACTCTGCAGATGGAAAACATACAAACCATATTGCCTCAGACTGAAACACTCAAAATATAATAAGAGTCTACAGCCATGCCAGCAGCTCTGTGAGACACAGACACAACAGTACTTTGACCTGAATCCTAATGTAAACATGCTCACATGCTCACTATAACAATGCAAACAATCAGTCATCTTAATTCTGTATCCACCACTGTGAATTTATTCTTTAACATAAATAAAAAAGAAGATTAACCTACTGTTAAATAATTATTAAAAGTGAAATCTGAACCTAAACTGAGCTCAACTCTCGCCTTAAAACAGCATGAATGAAGCACTTTTGAACAAACTGTCACACTGTGGCTCCCGAACAAAACTGAACGACACAGAACGAGGAAATGAGATTAAGCAACTTCAACCGTCCATTGCCTTGCAAATATCCCTGTGTTGAAAACACAGAGCCCTTTGCTCAGTCATATCGGTTTCCAGGCAGGCCTGTATCCTATCCGACGCTCTGACAGCTTATGGTATGTAAATCACACAGAACTGGGACTGACATTAGTTTTAGCCTGTTAAACCGCTCAAATGTGTTTAAATAACTAAACCTATAGTCTAGTATGGGTGGTATTTATGTTCCTGTGTGGTGAATATGCCGTATGACGGGTTGGTGAAAGCAGGAAATGTAAGTAGTGCATGTTCATGATTTGACTACATTTAGTTCACCGTGGCGATGACGACCCACTCTGGTTGAGCCAATGAGGCTTTGATTGAGGCAACAGGTAGTTAATGTGTAACAGAGGAGAGGTGCAACCTTCAGCAGACATTTGTTCAGCTCTCACTGTGTGACTCATGCAGTCACATGAAGCACAGGCCTCTACGTTTGTTTATTATACCAACAGCACTGGATAACAGGACCTTGTGGAGGATTTAGTTTTTGTGTATGAAGCTGAGTTGTTTTGTCGGTTGCTGCAATGGTGAGTGTTGTTTTTTTATATTGAAGTTTAGCCAAGTTTCTATCTTAAATATTTCCCTTTTCATCTTGATATTATTAGAAATGACTCTGTCGAGGTTTGTTTGACATGCTTTCTGAAGCTGGTTTACTTAGTAACTACAGAGCTTGAGGTTTTCATGTGACAATCACACAGGCCTGAGTAAACCGATTCACGACTGATAGCGCTGTTTCCTGTTAACGCCATGCAGGAAGTGAGATTTGGCCATTAAAAAACCGTGATCACAGGGGGGTTGTTGTTGTTGCTGCTACATTTGCCTGGCAGAGTCTCAATGGTTGTAAATTTTTGCTGTGGAGATTGTCACTGACGGCAGTAAAAATCTTTCACAGGCTGACACAAGCTCTCAGTCGCCGACCTCCGGCTCGTCGGCCAAGCTTGACCAGGTGCAAGGTCAGGTCAATGAGGTTAAAGTGATTCTGAAAGACAACATCAACAAAGTGCTGGAGAGGGGCGACAGACTAGACGATCTGATCGGGAAGACTGACGACCTGCAGGCGTCAGTGAGTATCTGATCATGTTGGTACAGGTCGAGCTCGCTGTCCTTTGGTTTATGGATTTAGTGTGTCACGATTCCTCATATACGCCTCCTTCAAACCACAAAGCTGTTAGAGAGACGTGTGTTTTACGGTGGTGGAGTTCAGTGTATTTCCATTTTCTGCAACTTTATACTTATAGTCTTTAGAGGGAAATATTGTACTTCTTACTCCACTATATTGACAGCTACAGTGAGTATAGTTTTCATTAGCCATTTGTATAAAATACACTTTGTTAAAGTTCAACCTTTTTTGCTTGTCACTAAAAATCAATATCTAGTTGATCAGTTATCACATTTCAGATTCAGTTAAAGAGAAAAATTTACCCTCTGAACTTCTCACATGGCTTCACTTAATTCAGTTTAAAGCCTAAAGAGGTAAAATTATATATTTTAATAACTAATATTTCACAAAAAAAGAAGCAAAGATTAGGGAAGAAGTTTTTTTTTCTTTCCTCGTCCATTAATTCATTAAGTCACGGGGAAGTTTTCCATGTAACAAGTACTTTTACTTTTGATACTTTTGTTGATAATACATCTGTACTTTTACTTTAGTTGAATGCAGGGGTTTTACTTAAAATTGAGTATTTTCACATTGTTGTTTTGTACTTTTACTTAACTGAACTATCTAAATATTTCCTCCACCACGAATTAAACACAATGTACAGCTGAGACTGATGAGTGTATTTTTACTGCTAATTTTTGAACTTTGAGCGACATTTTGAACCCTGGAAGTACTTCTACACTATTGTATTTGTACTTTAACATAAAAGCGCACTCCGCTGATTTAGCACTGCAGTTCTATAATATTGTTGGACACACGATGGACAGTTTAAAACAATGATGCTCAAAATTAGTGCATCAGAAGCAGATTTATTATCTTTTACTCCACACATTCTGAGATACTGCTACCTTAATATATGATTGAAGTAGTACTGTACAACACTTGCAAAAAGACTATGATGTGTAATATTTAAGTAGTACTTCTTCCATCACCAGTGTTTCATTAGTTTTGTTATTTCTCTTTTTTAGGCTGATTCGTTCCAAAGAACATCCACACGGGTCGCCAGGAAATACTGGTGGAAAAACATTAAACTGATGATTATAATTGGCATAGTTGTGCTGATCATTGTCATCCTCATCATCCTCTTTGCCACAAAAGTTATTTAAATCCTATCTCTAACCAGCTCGGGACTGAAAGCAATGAAGAAGGTGGATAAAGCTCATGTAGATACAACTTTCATTGAGCGTTTAATTTCTCAAGAGTGATCATTTCAGATCAAAAAGAGAGATATGTCATATTTCAAGATTAAAATGTGTATGTAAATGATTTCTTAACATCTGAAAGCTTGTTGATTAGTTTTCTCTGCGACATCTTGTGATGTGGAGATAAAATTCAGAGCAGCAGAGTTTAAATTTGGCTGAAATCCTCCTTTAACACTCCAAGTCACTAACGTGACGTTGAACCACTCTATTCATATTTCACACAGGATCACAAAGCCTAATAAGTGTTTATTATTTTTATTTGTCACTTTTCTTTATGTCCAATACACTGTGTATATATAATGTACGTTTATGACTGTCAAACTCTGTAATAACATATGTATTATAAGACTGATGACTATGATAAAGAGGATAAATTGTGACCACACATTTTGTTATCTTTGCTGCCACAGTACTTGTAAATATATGTGTGATCTGTTCCAGCCAATCTAACGTTTCAGTTACGGAATAAATCGAACAATTCACAAAAAGCATTTGAGAACATTAAATACATAAAAAAAACAAGGAGGGATGAGGAAGTGCTAAAGCTTTGCAGCAAATCTAAATAAATGCAAAACATCAAAACCCAAAACTTTTAAGATACAACAAATACTCTGGTAAATATAGAGGAAATGTACTGTAGGTCAGTGTTCTTCGTTTACTTTCTTACAATCAGCTAAGTGATCTTTGCTGGATACCACCATCTCTTTGGCCAATGCTCCACCAGCGCACTGCAGACTTTTCATCACTCTGAAACCTATGGAAAACAAACAAAAACAAATCAGCTATAGACGAACAAAAACAAATAAAATCACAATAAAATAGGAATCCCCTGTGTTTATAATGTCCAATGTAAAAGAAAAAACAAACTGAGAACAAATATTTTAACAATTTACAGTTAAAAAAAAGTTAGTCCATAAGCTAGAAATCCTGAAGTGCGATAAATTGAAGAAGTCAAAGCCAAAATATTAAATGGAAGAAACCTTCGACTGGTCAAAAATACACATTAAAGAAAGCATTACATGCAAATTTCTGGAAATGTAGTGACACTTTGATTCTTCTTGTTTTACAAAAGGTTATAAGAGGAAAATTTGTTACAGGAAAATTAACAAAAAAGAGGAGTCTTTTCCATCGCTGTCAGTAACACAAAACAGAACAATACATGTACACAAAGTAAAGCACTTTATCCCCCAACACAGTAGAGTCCAAATACGAACCAGGTTTTAGCTCATGGACTACTGGCTACAAGAGCTAAATAAAGAAACAAGCATTTTAGATAAAGATTAGGAGTGCATATATTAACAATAGGAACTGGAAAGTCCAGAGAATGCTGTACGTATCCTTTGAAAAGCAAATAGTTATTTTTTCATATTTATAATCATTACTTGTGGGGGAGTAAGGGCCTGTAAAAAATGACAATTACATGTGTATATTTTAAGTTTTACATTACAAACAGTTGCAAAGAAATTAAAATGGAAAGAAAGATGACAAAGCTGGACGTGTCCCATATTGTTTAGTTTAGAAATGCTGATACAGGATGTTGTAAGACCATACCAAATGGCAGCATTCGAGAGCGTATGCTTCTCGTACCCGGTCCGCATTGAGCGGGCCCTGAGAGTATCTGGGAGTCAGCTCATGGCCTGCAAGGAAGCTCCGCTGGCAGGTACAAACAAGGTATGTCAGAGTTAGGAGACAACATACTTCCTTTTCTGTTTCCTTGCACATCCTTAACTTTGGCATCCATTTACTGTAGTAGCAGTACTTTACCTGTTAACTTTACAGTTTAAAAAAAAAAAAAAAGAAAAAAAAGAAGGTGCAAAAGAGGCAGCAGAAGGCCGGCTGTTAAAATAATCGCCACAACACTGTAGCCTCTATGTTACCACTACTGTAAAGCACTTGAGGGTGCTGAGAAAAAGAAATTTATAAGAGAAATTATTCATAATGTTACCAAACAACAAAGTAAATTTAACTACTTTAAGTTTAAAGTAAGTAGTGTATTTTTGTTGTTACATACCTACTTGAAGATGAGGGTTTCCTCCATTAATACGGCTTGTAACTGTTGGTGTGACCACCACGCCGTGGCGACTTGCCGTATCCACCAGATTGATCTACACATGTTGTACAAAATGAGACATTTTATAATTTCACAAGTAAATGGAAAATAAATGGAAAAGCTCGACAAGAAACTTACAAGAACTTTACTCACTGTCGTAGTCACCATATCCATAATAGTTGTTGTAACCAGTGTAATCATAGCCACCGTATCCTCCATATCCTTGATTACTGTAACCATAATTGCCATAATTTCCATAGCCTTGATTCCAATAGTTGCCATAACCCTGGTTCCAGTTTTGATTTGGACCTGCAATTAAACAGAATTTAAATACAACTTTTCATCATACAAGCTCACATGACTGTTCCACTCCACTCAAAATTCAAATTTAAACTTTTACCTGCATCAAACGCTCATGCTTGTTTACCAGAGGCTCTTAGCTCTTGGATTAAAAACTCTGATAAAATTTCATATTAGAGGAAATTACGACAATTTGATAAAACAGTAGTGACAGCATTCAGCAGTAGTAACTTTGCTCTTGTCAGATTCCCATTTGCTCACATGCTGCATGTAAAGCACATTGCTGGATATTAATTTATTCATCCATGTGGTTGGCAGGGATCAAAATGTAAAATACAAGAGGGAAGAAATCTGGTTTGTTTTGTCTATGGGAATTTACTGTTTAACAAGAATTCAAAAGTGGAAATTGATGTTCCTCTTTTGAATTCTTGTTCATTTATTTTTCTTTAGATGTAACACACTGCATGAAACCATGAATGAATTCTCCACTCACCACCGCCTCTTCCTCGAGACCTGGATAAGTATCCACCTCTGCCTCCCCAGTACTGCTGCTGCTGGTACTGTTCTTTAGACATCGCCACCTTTATTTCACACTAAAAGCAACCCAAGGAAGATAATCTTTTTCCATAGAGATCATGTATTGTGTGTTAATCACCATAATAATACATCAAATGAATTACCAGGGAATTAAGTTTTATCTGAGAGAAAAAAGAGCCTGTACCTTGCTTAGTCCGATGTTGTGGTACTTTTTCTCCATGATCTTCTTCACTGGTTCCTCCTCTTTGAACGTGATGAAGCAGAAACCTCTCCTTTTGTTTGTTTTGTTCTCCATGGGAAGTTCAATTGAATCCACCTGTTTATATTTTCAACAGATGTATAACAGATGTATAAAATACAGTTTAGTAGTCTAAATGAAAATCACAAATTGATTGTGTCTATAAAAAGGGAAATGGGAAGGTAATTTTTGATTCACTTTCACTTTGATGCATGTGGTTACAAGTCAGTAACCCTACACAGACAGACAGATCCATTCACAAAAATCATAAAATGATAAAATATGATTCTCATGAGCCACAACAATAACTAAAAACTAAATCTGCAAATGTAAAAAGACATGAACCTCTCCAAAGGCACCAAAGTACTCTCTGACTTTCTCTTCAGGGGTGTCTGGAGAGAGACCGCCAACAAAGATCTTCTTCACAGGCTCCTTGCTCTTCATGGCCTTGGCTTTTTTGGGGTCAATGACCTTTCCATTGAGTTTATGTTCCTTCTGTGAGGCGACCTACATAACGAAATAATCAAATAACAAAAATATCATGTACAAAAATCATTTTCTAAGAGTTAATTTACAACTTCTCATATGTAATGGTTTCTATTAAGGACACTGAGCCCAATGCAAAGGATGTTTGCTTGTTGTTAGCCTGATCTTACAAATGCATTAGCTTTTTGTGTCACATCATTCCAGGACTGCAAATGACTGTTTTAATTTTTAATTTATCTGCTGCTTAATTAATTTATAAATCATTGGATTGTTTTTCTAAATTACCAATTTGCAAATTAGTATCTCTGTTTATTGTTTACTCTATTAAATGTTAAAAAAAAAAAAAATCTAGTTAAGAGATGGTTTTTCATGTTGGTGGAATGATTCAGATGATTTATTCCCTATTTGACAGCCACATTTAACATTATAAGTGGTATTGTTCACATTGCATTATATAAAGTGCTGTGCAAACTCTTTGGGCACTTTAGATTGTTTAGTAATCTCATCAGGGAAGCATGTGTGGTGCCAAATTCATTCTGCAGCATGATGTGCACAGACATACAGCCAGTCATAAAATAACTATCTTTTGTGATGATCTGGTCTCTGTAGAGCCCTGACCAGCATTTTTGAAAGCATCCTCACTTTACTCTTAGTGCCACAAACTTTTGCACAGGACTGTACAAAAACACCAGCAGGACTATACCTTATCTACACTTTCAGGTTCTTTGAAGAGCACAAAGCCAAAACCTCTTGAACGTCCAGTCATGGGGTCCAGTTTTAATGTGCAGTCTACAACCTCCCCAAACTTGGAGAAGTAATCTTTCAAATCCTTCTTAGTCGTGTCCCAGCTGAGCCCTCCTACAAACATCTTCCTGTGGACAAAATAAACATTTCACGATCGATAACAACATAACTGTCTGTAGAACAGGGCTGGGAGAGCAGCACCGGTTTGTTATGTTTGTATACGTTACCAGACAGCTGTGGTATCCTCATAGTATATGGTAAAACGTGTTTAATTGCGGAGACTATTTTCTGCTTTAAGATGGGTCTAACTAATGTCACCGTACCCTTCATCCTCTTCGTTTTTACTGGCGTCAATTCTGGATCCCTCGGCCTCGCCCCCCATCAGGCCACAGTCCCCGGCCGTTGACATCGGGTCGTCACTGTTCGCCTCTCCGTCCTCCTCCATTCTCATCATGGTCGTGTCGTCGCTGAATTCATAATCATCCGACATGTTTCGGCTGTGTAATTGACCAATTTATAACTAGACAGCTCCGAAAATGCAGCTACGTCGAAATTGTCGTTGGAGCTAAGTTTGCGAGCTGGTGATAGCTATTAGCTAAGCTAGCTAATATTTTGATATCATATATCGTTAGCTAAAAATATTAGCTAATTAGAGCAAGCTTTCGGGTTTGTCTAAATGAATCAGATTACAATGTCTGTATAAATTTAGGCCAAATATGATTTAATAAGGCAAAGATAGTTTCAGTTGCAACAAATTGAAAGGTGTATCTTTTTAGAGTCGTTTTGTTTTCATCGTAGCCTTGTTCTTCTTCTTCGGCTGTTGACATTTCCGGCAGAATAGACGCAGCGAGGGCGTGTTGCTGCCCCCCACAGGTAATTTATCGAACTGCACTGACTGAATTAAATCCCACTGTAGAGTCCAGTGCAATTGTTTCCCCAATCCTCCCCAGTCCTCAATGGATTACTAAACAGGCCTACTCTTTCTTTCTACACTCAGAAAGAGGCACAACACTATAAAGAAATAAAAATGACCAAAGAGACCCAAACATCTACAAGAGATGCAAAATGAGATGCAAAAAAATGCAAAACAACCACAACCAGATGCAAAAGACTACAGACAGATGCAAAACGACCTGGAAGAGATGAAAAACAAAAAACTATTACATTTCCCATTTAATATTTATTTCAGCACTCTTACCATGCACCTTCCGTCTCCTCGGGTGCAACTTTTCCTTCTGGCTTGACTTGTACATAATAGTCATATGTCCATGTGTATTTATTAACATAATTTCAACCCTCACAGTGTCCCACTGTTGAATAATAGTGTTAGATTAAGTAAAAGAAAATCTATATTTATGGAACACCACAGTTTGTGCTTTTCTAATTTGTCTTATGTACTTACCAATTTAAATGACAATGAAAACACTAATTCACCAAAGTGACCTGTTAGATTCATCGTGAGGCACATAGTTAATATGAAAAAAAAATACTCAGTACAATTTAATCACAGAAGGTTTATTTATTAAAAACCTTTTCGATAACAACAATTAAGTTATGAATAAAACTAATGTACATGAGCTGAACTACACTGACAACTGCTTCAAAATGTGTACTGTCAATTTTCAGTTCACACTAAAGAGTGCGTAAGGCGAATACATACTTCTATGAGGTCACAGCATCACATCTATGAAGAGTCTCGTTTTGCTCTAGGTTGCAGTTCTGGTGGGTCAGTTCCATCTGTTTCCTACTGAACACCGTTTTGATGTTAAATTGGTCAATACTTTCACCTGTGAAGGTGGTGACTGTGCAAGAGCTGAACAGACTCTGTTTATAAAATGTTATTACTATCATCTCTCAACAACAGTAGAAATTAACTAAAAGGCAAGAAACTGAATCTGTGAATACTGAGGACAGAGAATAATAAACAAAACTAGACAATTCCTGGAGAAATTCTGAATGTTCCTGCTGCTTGGTGCATGTACTTCACTCCTGCAGGCCTGTTCCATTATACTGCATCAGTTTCATCCAGGTTCACCTAAAACATATATATGATTTAAAACTAAAACTCAAGGACACTTACAAATGCTAAAACAAATCAGCCCTTTATTTAAAGTAAACCCAATATACAGCAACGCTTAATAAAATGCATTCCTTTGAACAGAATGGTAATGGAGCAGAAATAAGTGACTGTAGATTGCCATAAAAAGTTACACTGTCAGTCTATCTCATCTTGTAATACCCCTTTGTTCCTCAAGAGGCGATGGTGAGTAAACTTATCATAACTTACTAATAGAACTTGAGGTTCAGTTGAAACTAATGATCTCTCTCCAGGGCTCCTCACCCTGCGATAGTGAGTCATGTGATGACCTTAGTTTTCTCAACCGATGCCCATCCATCCACTGTACCACAGCACATGATGTAAACTGCAAGAATAAAAGAAAGCACAAATTACAAATTAATTCTTACATACAGTAACAGCATTGTGCCCAATTGAAACTATTTACAATATTTTTAACCGGGAAACAGTCAATGTCCAGTCTTTGCACTGCGCACATTTTAACTTTCTGTCTTGGTGTTGAAGAGTTTTTAAGACCTTTTTAAGCAATTGTGAATGCAATTTAAGGATATAATTAAAAGAAAAAAACAAAACTGCAGTGAAAGTCTTTGTCATCTTTGAATATTTATACCTTTTCAGCTGTAGCCACTGTCCACTGCCTCCTGCAGCAAACAGCAGACAAACACAGTGCAATTCTCAGCATGAAACAGGCTGATGTTAAACCTTATGTGACCGAGCATCTTATCTTATCTCCACACTTATCTTTTTTTCTGTACTCCACGTGTGACCTCAAAACAGTTTCCAACACTTTACGGCAGCCCTCCGTAATTCCAAAAATCCTCTATCACAGGGGTGTCAAACTCATTTTCACCGAGGGCCACATCAGCATAATGGCTGCCCTCAAAGGGCCAGATGTAACTTTGAGGCAGTATAAATGTAGCTAAATGTAACTAAATGTAATGTAAAATAAATGCAACTACTCCTTAATGTTAAATAACTCTGGATTTTTATTATTTAACTTACAAATATTACATATATATTTGCATAAATGTAAAAAGAAATGTTTGCTTGTTACTCTGTTATAACATAAATCCTTTTAATTTGTCAGTTTATGAAACCCACATTAACACATCAAACTATCCAAGTGAATAAGGATAAATAACAAGTTATGACATTAACTTTGTTCAAAACTTTGTCATAGTTGAAAGGGGCAGAACAACGGTCCAACCAACAACTGTGAGCTGCTAAGAACATGTGTGACAGCTGTAGCATTTTACACAAACAAATGGCTGCACACAGCCTTGCAAGGGGATACATCCAACTAATGAGAGATGGTTTGATTACAGTGAACATTTGTCTGCATAAACACATAAACCTGCAAACACTAAATACAATGCTACACATATAACGTAGTATATGTAATAAACTCAAAATAACAACACAAGGGTTGTCTCAGTTCACAACTATATTGGTCAAGTTTTAAGGTGAAGTTGATGAGGAGATGCTGCCTGTCCTTTAACACACCACATGAATCCCCTCTCCACCATCCTCATCCATTGATCATGTTTCCTGAAAATAACAAAACACAAAAGCAACTGCAAGCACAATGATTAAATTGACACAGTTTAACTATTCTTGTTCTTGGCGTTGAAATACATTTTATTATATTTTAATTAGGTTTTTAAAAAAATGCTTACCTATGTGGTTTTCTGACCAGATAATCTGACACCTTTTTTCCATGGCCAGTGTGTCAATGTCTGGTTTTAGGTCTTGTGCTGAGAGGCAAATCCGTAGAAACAAGCATGGAGGTTGTCATCAGTGGATGCGTGATCTGTTTGCTTTGGTCCTTGGTTTAGATTCAAGATTGAAAACATCTGCTCGCACAGATAGGTGCTCCAAACAATAGACAGAAACACGGGCCAGCGTGAAGTCGAAGCTGTGGCATCAAAACGCAGGGGGCAGTTGACGGTAAAAGTCCTGATAGCAGCACCTGGAACTTTGCTCTCAGGCCACTATCGCTATTGCAAAGCTTCTATTAACTCCATCTGAAGATGTTGGGGTGCAAGTGCAGAACGTCCGGTGGTGAAAGGATTGGCAAAGATGGCAAAGCCTGAGTGCCTGTCAGAGAAGCGCCGATCAAACCTCATTCATAAAGGCGGCTCAGTTTGGTAGCTGAGTAAGTACAGTTGAAAAAAGTACCAAGGAAATGCGGCAGATGCCTCTGACAACAGGAAAGTGGGCCAAGATTGTCCTGTTCACTTGGTACCATCCATAGATCAAGTTTTAACGCAGGAAAAGCCGTGATCATGTCCGGACATCTGCGTGATGATTGGTTTTGCCCGTCCCTGCATGCTCTGATTCAGTTGGGCGAGATGCTACAGTTATGTCACAACAACATAGCAAAGTTCACACAGTCCGTTTGGATCTGACATGTTCAAGACAAGGGTTTTCCTTTACTCTGCAATTGAAAAGAGCAATATCCTTCCTAAAGCTCAACAAATCGTTTGAGGACTTTTGCCTCCTACTCATCCGCACCGTAACTTCTATTGGTAAGCGGCCCGTGGCCTAAATCATCTTTAGTTCCAGATGTTTTTGACGGAGATGGGCTCGGAGCACGGCGACGTGCCGTACCATACAGAAGTACGGTGGCTGAGTAGGAGCAAAGTCCTCAAACGATTTTTGAGCTTAGGGAAGATATTGCTCTTTTCAATGCAGAGTAAAGGAAAAACCCTTGTCTTGAACTGTCAGAATCCAACGGACTGTGTGACTTTGCTATGTTGTGTGACATAACTGAGCATCTCGCCCAACTGAATCAGAAAGCTGCAGGGACGCAAAACAAGTCATCACGCAGATGTCCGACATGATCACGCTTTCCTGCGTAAACTTGATCTATGGATGTACCAAGTGAAACAGGACAATCTTGCCCACTTTCCTGTTTGTCAGAGCATCTCAGCCGCATTTCCTGGTACTTTTTCATGTACTTAGCTAAGCTACCAAACTGAGCCGGTTTAATGAATGAGTTTGATCGGCGCTTCTCTTGACAGCACTCAGGCTTTGCCATCTTTGCCAATCTTTCACCACCGACGTCTGCACTGCACCCCAACATCTTCAGATGGAGTTAATAGAGCTTCAAAGCGATAGTGGCCTGAGAGCAAAGTTCCAGGATGCTGCAATCAGGACTTTTACCGTCAACTGCCCCCTGGTTTGATGCCACAGCTTCGACTTCACGCTGCCCGTGTTCTGTCTATGTTTGGGAGCACCTATCTGTGCGAGCAGATGTTTTCAATCTTGAATCTAAACAAGACCAAGCACAGATCACGCATCACTGATGACAACCTCCATGCTGTTCTACGGATTGCCTCAGCACAAGACCTAAAACCAGACATTGACACACTGGCATGGAAAAAGGTGTCAGATATCTGGTCAGAAAACACATAGGTAAGCATTTTTAAAAACCTAATTAAAAATAATAAAATGTATTTCAACAAGAACAAGAATAGTTAAACTGTGTGCAATTTAATGATTGTGCTTGGCATTTTGCTTTGTGTTTGTTATTTTCCAGAACATGATCAATGGATGAGGATGGTGGAGAGGGGATTCATGTGGTGTGTTAAAGGACAGGCAGCATCCCCTCATCAACTTCACCTTAAAACTTGACCAATATAGTTGTGAACTGAGACAACCCTTGTGTTTGTTATTTTGAGTTTATTACATATACTACGTTATATGTGTAGCATTGTATTTAGTGTTTGCA